CACCAACTTCTCTCCATGACTGAGTGACCTGCCTCTGCATCTGAGAGCCACAGACCTAGAATGAGCTTGGTGGCTAGAAGAAACACTGATGCAAGTCAAGGTGTTGGAAAAAAAAATCATAACCAGTAGAAGCAGCAATATATTTGCTCTTCAGGGGCCTGGGAACTAGCACACGGGAAGACTTGCAGATGTTCCTAGGGGGCCCTGATTGCAGGAGTCTGCCAGTGTGAGGTGGGAGCCTTGACTCCTGGTCTTTGCATCAGCTGCAGACCTGGCCCTGGCCCTGGCAGAAACCAACCCACTTCCCCTTCAGATTGCCCTGACTGCTACCATGAGTTTTCTAATTTTAATTTTCTTCTTCTCCTTTCCTTCAGGCAACCTTAAAAAAAAAAATCAGCCAGGCTGGGCAGTGGTAGCACACACCTTTAATCCTAGCACTTACGAGGCAGAGTCAGGCAGACCTCTGTGAAGTCAGGATGGTCTACAGGCGAGTTCCAGGATAGCCAGGACTGTTACACAAGAAACTCTGTCTTGAAAAACCATACCAATCTCCGTGAGTTCGAGGCCAGCCTGGTCCACAAGAGCTAGTTCCAGGACAGGCACCAAAGCTACAGAGAAACCCTGCCTCGAAAAAAAACAACAACAAAAACAAAACAAAACAACAACAACAAAAAACCATACCAAGCAAAAAATCAGCCTAGCCTGCTTGAGTTTTGTTGTTGTTGTTTTGGGTTTTTTGAGACAGGGTTTCTCTGTAGCTTTGGAGCTTATCCTGGAACTCACTCTGTAGACCAGGCTGGCCTTGAATTCACAGAGATCTTCCTGCCTCTGCCTCCTGAGTGCTGGGATTAAAGGCTGGGGCCACCACACCCGGCCTCCAGCCTCTTGCTACTGCCCAACTGCCACATAGTCCCTCTCCTGAGCTTTTGTGTCATACATTCCGCTGTACAGTTTAAATGTGTCGCGTGGAAGAATGCTGGCTTTGAAAAGTCAGTGCAGGAGGCCGCATTTCACTTTGCCTTGTAATTAGGAGCCAAGGCCTAGGGTCTGACATGAATGTGAAATCTCCAGCTCATCATTTACTGGCAAAGAAAGCCAATTGCTGGCCTCAGGGTGAGCAAGCAAGTTGCAATGGTGACCAGTGTTGGCTAGGGTAGAGTAGTGGTGGTAATGGTGGCAGTCGCATTACTGTGGTAGTATTGGCAGGCAGCTACAAATTTCCAACGTAATTGGCCAGAATTGCTCTTTCTCTCTCACACACACAAAATGCTAAGTCCCTGTAGTAAGACAGAGTCTGTTTTTATACCAACTGTAAGGTGGGGGATTTCCGATGACCTAGTGCCTGTGGGAAATCTTGGCCATACTAGGCAATTCATTCATTCAGCCATCACTGACTTAGCAACAAACTGAAGTTCTCAGAGCCAGGATAGCAGGGAGCTCCAGAAATAAGGAACATTTCATGTCTAAGGTCTCCTGTTAAAGGATTAAATGCTGGGCGGGAAGAAGGAGAATCGTGTGAATTGCGTCTAGTGTCATGCCAACATAGATGGGAATTCAAGCTCACGAGAAGTTTTAAGACAAACTTCATGGCTGTCTAAATGCAAGCACTTGTGTGTGTGTGCGCGCGCGCCTTCTAAGCCTTTCTCCAGGTATAATGCTTTAGGATCTGACCATCCTGGGACTCAGAGACCAGTATCCCTTCTTTCCCAAGAATCGCTCACTCCTAAACCTGACCCTGGGCTCTTCTTGTTCTGTCCTTGCTCACACCAGCAATCCCAACACTGGGGTAACAAGGCAGGAGAATCCTGAGTTTGAGGCCAGCCTGGGCTATATAGTGAAGTCCTATTTAGATGGCAGCAACAACAGAACCATCATATAAATTAGAAATTATGTTTCATAAGTATCTTCCTACCACCATCCCCAAAGTCCTGCCAGGACGAGGCCTGGCCACCTCACTCCCCACATACTTTCCCACCCAGGGCTTTTAATCGAGATTTGTCATTTCTCAGCTGAGTCTAGTTCAGTTGGGAAGCCAGTTTTATTTCAGCTCCTTTAGGCACTAGGCCAAATGACCCGTTGAAGGCTGATAAAGTCGTTGACCTAGGCACAGGAAAGGAAAGAGAAAGGACATTTCTGGGCAATTCTAAAATAAATCTTTTCCCGTTTCTCCCTGACCTTTGGACAACCTCCTAAGCCTACCTACTGTGGGGGGAAGGTAGGAAGAACAGGTGACATTGTCTGGAGCCAGCTGTAGGGCCTTGACTAGATTACCTTCCGGGCCTATTTACTTATTTACCAATAAATAAATGAAATGACAATAACAAATCATGGCGGTGCCTTTCAGCTGTGATTGTCTAGAAATCACAACTAGAACTGAACTAGACTCAGCTGAGAAATGACAAATCTCGATTAAAAGCCCTGGGTGGGAAAGTATGTGGGGAGTGAGGTGGCTCAGCTGCTTTGAAATCTGAGGTACTTTCCTGGGCCTTCTCTTGAGGTACAGCTTCTTTGAAAACTATAGTCTAATTCTGATTCAACAGCATACCCAAGTAGTTGGACCTGGATCTGCTCCAACTTTCCAGGATACATGAAGCATAATAATGTGTAATCCTAAAATCTAGACATCATTCCTTCAGGGCGGAGCTGGGGACACACCAGCTCAGGGAGGAACGCCTGGGCCTGGGGAAAACATGCCTGGTTTTTCACCCATGTTATGTGGAGGGCACGTAGGCCTGGGATTTCTAAATATGAAACTTCTGGGAACAGTGGGTGGGGGCTGGGGCAAGAAGTGGGAGGAGGCATGGAAAGCTATAAACTAACTACTGACAGCAAATATTGAGTTTAGGAGCAAACTGGACACAAACTGCTGGTGGTCTAAGACCAGAGAAAGCAACATTGGAATAGTGCAAATCCAGCTCACTGTGCACACCGGAGGCAATCTGGTCCCTTGTCCCAGCTGTTCCAGTCCTATAGCAGCTCCCGTACAGTTTTCTTTGGCTCAGAGAAGCAGAGGCCTCCCCCGAGCCCCGGCCCCCCTCTACCGCAAAGCAACTGGCTTCCATTACCCCTGACAGCTCCAGAGTAACAGTCCAGCCCCCGGCCCTGTCTGGCTCCACATCATTCCCTTTTATGGTGAAGCTGAGAGAAAGCAAGAAAGGGGAAACCCTTTTCTAGCTGAATAGAGGGCTGTAGAGATTCAGGGTGCTGCTCCCCTCACCAGTGACCCTTGGATGTCTGGATGTCTATTGCAGCTAACTCTTTTTCACCACAAACCCACGACCCCTCTGGCTTGTCCCAGCCCTTCCTTTCCTACCCCCTCCTTCACATCCGGGGGGTGATTTCCCACTTGGCCGAGGTCCCACGTTTGGTTTTTGATTATGAAAGGATCCACCCTAATTTTGACGCCCACCTCCAGGAGTGGGATGGAGGCCTGAGACCGGCACTGGTCAAGTAGTCAATGACCCGCCTGTTTGGTAGGACGTGGATTCAGAATGATTAGCACCCGTGAGAGTACCAGCATCCTCTATCCTATTCATTCTGCATCTATCTATCTATCCATCTCCACCGTCAGCGAGCCTGGGAGGGGACCGGGAGGGCAAGACCCAAAGGAAGCACCTGGCTGAATCGGGTAGGGAAGCGAAGGGTGGCAGCATGCAGGAAAGTGGGTCGGAGCCTGCGGGTCAGGCCCGGCCTCCCGCCCACCGCACCCTCGCCCTAGCCCACTCCTCGGCTCCAGGGAGGCTGCCACCACAGCAGCTCTAGCTAACCGCGGCTCCCACCGCTCCAGCTGCTGCCAGCTGCGGAAATCCCAATCCCGCCCCGTCACTCGCAGCTGGGCGGCCTCCCCGAAGCTCCGCCCAAGATCCACTCTATGTGCGCGCGCCGCCGGAGCAGACGAGTAGGCTGGGTAGAGAAGCCGGAAGTGCCTTGCCGTTCCCCCGACTAGCACTACGAAGTTCCGGCTCAGGTCTCCTACCTCGAGCTTTACAGCGAGCGCTAGCATCGGAGCCGAGTGGAGCTGGTCAGGTGAGAACCTCGCTGGCGCCGTCTCACACGCGAGCCCGGCGGAAGCTGGACCGCGGTGGCGAGGACCGGGCCTGCTGAGGGCAAGGAGAGAGCGACCCGAGGCTCAGTCCCTCCCCTTGTCCGCAGGATGATCACGGACGTGCAGCTCGCCATCTTCGCCAACATGCTGGGCGTGTCGCTTTTCTTGCTTGTGGTTCTCTATCACTACGTGGCAGTCAACAATCCCAAGAAGCAGGAATGAAAATAGCGCTTTCTCCGCCCCAGGTAACGGTCCGGGCAGTAGCGCCCAGGCCCCAGAGAGCTGAGTGGTGAGGCCGCGCCAGGGCCTGCAGGCTTAGAAACTTGAAGTCAGAAAGAGTCTAGTCAAGCTTAGTCCAGAACCTGGCCCCTTTGTTTGCACTCTGTACACTGTCTTGAAACACTGCTTCTTCCCCTAAACGGTTTCCTACTCCAATCAGGGTGGGTTTCCGGATCCTACTCAGGCTCCAGTTTTGAGGTTTCCAGTAGATAGAGTGCCAAGTTACAAGGAGTCGTTGACACCAGTACAAACAAAGGCCGTAACTGTGCCACCCAAGTGTGGGATCAGGCCCCAAGCCTCACTTTCCCACGGAGCCTGACGCAGGGTTGGGGGAGGGGCATGGTAGTGAAAGATGTAGACTTCCCATGTTCTGAAACCAGGGACCTTGTTTTTATGGGTTATGTACAAACACAAACCAGAGAGATCAAAAGGGAGGGGGCAGAGTCTGGGAATCAAATGTATTTCAGAGTGTAAAGGGAAACGGGCTAGAGGGGGGTTGGCTCCTGAAGGATTCCCCCGCAGGGAAAGAAAGCCGCAGCATTTTCCTTACTTTGGGTCTTTCACCTTTTTTCTAGGGTTCCAGGACATAGTCTGAGGCAAGATGGAGGGTGTGAGGGGCCTTCACACTTCACTGCATCCCTCCTACCCATCACAGCATACAAAGCAACTACACCTGGATTTTTCCAAACAACTTTTATTTCCTCAAAGTCTTCCTTAATCCTATGGAACAAGAAGCTGCCACTGAATAGGGCCCAGTATAGGGGCTGCTTTCTTTTCTATTCCCTCCCCCCAATACAAAAATATAGATATATATTTTTTTGTGGTCCCAAAATCTTGTGCTGTGGAGGGAGGGAAGGGGTGGCAGGTCCCTGTTTTGTTCTGTCTCAAGGTGATGTTCTGCAAGGCCTCAGACGCGTGACCGGTATCCCAAGGAGCTATGTTGTCACATGATACCAGCAGCTGGAAGACGGGACTAACATATCGTTCACTGTGTTCCCTCACCTTAGGTCTATGTCCTGGGCATGGAGGTAAAGGCATGGTCAGACCCTGGGAGAAATAGTGAGTGATGGAGATTTAGGGACGAAACAAACCTCACACTGGTTCAGGGGCCCCCTGCTGTAACAAATCCGGGTTGGGGAGTCAGATAGAGTACAGGAAATAGGAGAAAAGGCAGGGGCAGAGCGGGGCCGTGGGGGGCCGGCCTGAGGCAGCCTGCAACAGAGAAGAGAGAGGAAATCAGGGTTGTGGAAAAAGCCCCATTTCTGGTCTGTTAGCCAGGGACTGGGAGGTGAAGAGGGAAATGTGAAGATGGGTAGGACTAGGCAGAGTCACTACTGCACAGAAGTCTGCTATTAGAACTAGCTAGCTAGTGCCTAGACCTTAAGGGCCTAACTACAAGTTACGCTGTGAAGTGAAGACAGGCCATGGTGGAATAAAAATCAGGGACTAAATTAATAATGAAAGTACATTTAGTCTTTGGGATCAATGAGAAAAGGAGAAAATTATCCTGAATGTGGAAATGGGGTGAAGGAATAGTAGACATGAAGGGAGGGATGAAGGACTGGACTCCGGTGCTCACCCTGGTGTAGCAGAGCGGGGTCCCGGCTCCAGCTCACTGCTCTCTCTGGTCTGGGGGATAGGGAATGTGGGGCTTGAAGAGCCTCCTATCCCTCTGCGAGTCGGCGGTGAGCTCCGGCCCAACCTGGGCCTAGCCTGTGTGATAAGACAGGGACAGTCTAAGAGATTTTGTTTTTCTCTCGTGAGGCTTTTCTGCATAAGAATCTAGCACAGAAGTCCTGAGCACTGTTGCTAGCTGAGAGGATGAGGTGGGGTGGCAGCTAAAGAACTTCCAGATTCAGCTTATGACAACATGCCAGGTCTTATCTAAGGGTGGCAAAGGGCCCAGCATTTTACCTCCATGGGTATCCCATGGTTAAGAGGTGGCTGAGTTGAGAAGCCATATAAATAAAGATGGTAGAAGACTGGCAGACCTCCCTCAGCTTTCTGAGCCTCCGCCCCTGCCAGAGCAGCTTAAACTTCACCCATCCAGTCAGCTTCTGCCTCTGCCCAGCTATGGTCAAACTAAGAAGAGGAGCTTGTCTAAGTTGGAGCAGTAACCAGATGTGTTACCTGGGGAATCCGGGACCCCTCCTGGCGGAAACTCTCCTCGGGCAGGTCTGGTCAGAAAGAGAGGAGACGCTAAGGACAGGTAGGGGAAACCAAAGCTAGCAGGCTGCGGTTGGAGTGCATCTGGCAGGGACAATGGAGTCTGAGGCAAGCGAGATACCTGGCTGATTGGGACTGGGTAGGTTAACACTCAGGTACCATGGCAGCTCTGATAGGCTGGTGACAAGAGGCTGTAAAGCAGGACTCAACATCTCCCTCCCAGTGCTCAGGAGAATAGTGTCTTCCTGGGCTCTGCTAATGCTAAGGACATGGAAAGACCCCCCCCCCCAACTTTTACCTGCAAACGAGTCCTAATGCAGGGGATCCGAGCACCAGCCCCTAGCAGACTTTTCCCAATCACCATGACAGCCTCTGGCTTGTCCCCTGAAGACGAGAATGAGCAGCTGCTCCCTAGAGAACAGAGGAAACTGATCATCAAGGCAGGACTAGAAGAGAAGGTAACTTCATTTAGATCAGTTTCATGACCTTGTTTTGTTTTATGGTGCTGGGAATTAAACCTAGGATTTCATGATAAGCCGGTACTCAACCACTGAGCTTTACCAGGGCCCTTCACTTGGCATCACTGAATTAGCGGTGCAATCATTTGTTGTTGCAGTGATTTTGTGCATAGTAGGATGTTTACCAACATCCCTACCTCAAACTATTGTGTGACTGTTTCCTCCCTAGGTCCTTCCCTATTATAATAGCCAGAACCTCCTTGGATGTTATCATATGTTCTCTGGGTGGCAGAATTGCTTCTGAGGGGTTCTAATCTGACCCAAGAAGTGAAGCTGCCACTTTGGATTAAAATAAAACTCTCAAGTTTAATGACTTAGTTTGTAAACCTTAGAGCCCACTCCAATCAGATGTTTAGGTATTTAGGAATAAAGTCCATCTGGGCATAGTGGTCATACCTCTAATCCCAGCATTCCAGAGGCAGAACTGGAAGACCAACTGGTCTATATAATGAGTTCCAGGACAGCGGGCTACATAGACCTTGTCTCAAAGGGGGAATGGGGGAGTTCATTATGTACAACAACTGGACTGAGGACTAATTGATTAGAAATTGATAGGCTGGTACAGTATATGTTGGACTCAATCATAGAAAACAATCCTGCTGGGCATGGATTGTTTATTCTAATTAATTGTTAATTAATTGTTTAAATTAATTGTTAATCTTTAATCCTAGCACTCAGGGCAGTCAGGTAGGTCTCTACAGGTTTGGGGCCAGCCTGGTCTACAAAGAGTTCCAGGACAGCCAGGACTATAAAGAGTGACCCTGTTGAAAAAGAAAAAGAAAATAATCCCATTTATTTCCTTATACCACTGGGTCTCTAACTTAAAATACGAGTAGGTGCCTTTAAGTTTAGTTAGAGTATAGGATGCCATTTATAATCATAAGTGAAAAGCCTGTGTTTCAAATGTTCCAATTTTATCCCCAGTCCTAGCTGTTGGAGTTAAGGAACTTGATTAAGTAGCACTTTGCAGGTAGAAAGAATCCTCACATTCTTGAGCTACAAGTGAGGACTAGATAGTATAGAGCAGTTCCTGCACAGAGTGAACATTCGATAAATGTTAACTGTTACTTTATTTTACAAATTCATTTCATTGAATTCCACCCTCCCGTACAAAGGCACGTGTGTTAGGAGTGTGAGGTACCAGGAGAATAACTCACACTTGCTCTGAAGTGGCCTGAATACATCAGGTCAAGAAAGGAAGTCCAGGTTAGGTAACAGTACAGCTGAAGGGTTTCTTCTTGAAGCTTAGTTGGTAGCCTGTCTAAGCCCTGGGTGGTACAGAAGGCAAGAAGCTGGGCAACTCAGATTTCAGGGTCAGTGGGTACAGACCTGATAAGCTGAGTGGATTGGGCAGTAGACAGGAGCCCAGGTTTCGTGAGGAGGCTGGGCCAGAACTAGCAAGAGTTGGGGATGGGGCCAGGCTGCTTGTGGTAGGACGATGGTTCAGTGGCTGCTGCCGCCGTCTTCTGTCTGGGCATCGGGGCTCTGAGTGGAAAGGACACAGCAGGTAAAAGATAAAGTAAGTGAGACACTGTATGATAGACTTCACTGACTTGGTGGCTTCCCCTGGTCATGCATGGTCAGAAGATGCCTGTTTTCAAGTTTGTCAACAAAGCAGTCACCTGCCCTGTTCTAGAGCAACTGAGATGAAAAACGTACTATTGGGGCTGGAGAGGTGGCTCAGTGGTTAAGAGCACTGACTGCTCTTCCAGAGGTCCTGAGTTCAATTCCCAGCAACCACATGGTGGCTCACAACCATCTGTAATGAGATCTGGTGCCCTCCTCTGGTGTGCGGGCATAGATGGAGGCAGAATGATGTATACATAATAAATAAATCTTTAAAAAAAAAAAAAAAAAGAAAAACGTACTATTGACTCTAGCCATCTAAATCTCAGCCAGCTCTCATCCTGCCAGTTTGTTCTGGTTAAAAGTTACAGCTTCTAGAACATGGTCTTACTAGACTTTTCCCTCACCTCTAACTGCTCCTCTTCTCACTGATCTTCCTGCCACTTAAGGACCAATGTTCCAGCCATCTGGCCTTCCTCTTTTCTTAAGTTTTGTAATCTCTAAGGCCCTTTTCTCCCTCAGTCTCTGATTGCCAAACCAAATCTCACTGCCTTCTCTCCACTCTTTTGCTGTCTGCTAGGAAACTCACTTCATTTTCTCCCTTGCATTTCTGTTTGTTTAGTCAGATCCTGATGGTTCAACACTTGCATCTTATTCATGCCATTGCCAGGGTCTAAATGGATATTTTCACTCTCCATCCTCTCCTCTCCCTTGGTTTGATTTTTTAAAAAAACAAAACAACAACAACAAAAAACCCCTATTCATACTTCTACATAGGTGCCACCAAGTTATCCTAAAATAGAAACTGTTGTTTTTTTTAATTCACTGAGGCTTGGGTAAGGGAGAACCAGTTTATCTGCAGACAGATCCTCACTGTGTAGCCCAGACTGTCTTCACTGTATAACTTAAGCAAGACCTGAACTTTTGGTCTTCTTGCCACACCCTGCCAGATGCTTAGACTGTATGCATTCACCACACCACTACATGTGGCTAAATTCTGAAGGTCTTTTAATGATAAAGTCCATTCTAAACCCTTATATTCAGGGTCCTGTGCTGTGTTTCTTGGCTACCTATAATTAGGATGCTAGCTTGATCACTCATACCTCAGCCATGGTTGCTACTAGCTGTGTGGTTCCTTTGAAATTTCTGTTTTTCTTTAGGCAGTACCTTGAGTCTCTTCCATGTTCCATCTCAAATGTCAGCTCCCTGTAAATGTTATCTTGGCCATTTACAGGCAGAATTAGTTCCCTTTTTCACATGACTTGTTTATAGATCAGTCACCTCTTAAAGTTTACAGGCATGCTTAGCTACTAGGGATAGTACTCCGACGTACTCCTTTGGCCTGAACTTGACTAGTACAGGTTCTGAAGGGTGGGGCACCTGAGACAGATGGTAGGTGAATGGGATAAGGGACTTACAGTACAGGTTCAGTAGCTTTTAGCAGGTGCCAGGTGCTCTTGAATTGTAGAAACAAAACACTGGTGTCAATATTCTAGGTGTCTTAAAAAAAATATTCTAGGTGTCTTCTACAAGTACAGGTAGGTATGAGGTGTCTGTACTGGGTTTTAGCAGGCTATGCCACTGTTACATACGTAACTGCAAACCTGTAATCCCGGCATGCGGAAGGTTGTGGCAGGGTGACCACAAGTTCTAGGCCAACACGTGCTTCATAATGAGGCCCTGTTTCAAAGACTATTTTGATCGATCTTAGGATGGAAGCCCTTCTTGCTATGTGTCCCTGCACTGGATAGCAATTAAAGTCTAAGTTGGATTTGTTAGAGTACAAAACAACCAGACATTAGGGGGCTAGTGAGAGCAGAAATGCTGGTAAGAGCAGGAGTCAGAGAGATGTGTGGCCACATCAGCCTGTAACATTAGTCACCCTCAGTGACTTGTGATACTTAAGTGTACAGGCCTGGTGGTTTGGGTTGAAAATGTGAGTACTGAAATTATCTCTTAGGGCCGAATGTGTACCTTCAACCCCGTAGGTGGGCAGAGCTCTCAAGTTTGAAGCCAGCCTGATCTATCTACACGGCAAGTTTTAGACAAGCCAGGGTTATACAATGAGACCTTGTCATACAAATGAAGGCATGTTCCTCAGCACAGCAGGCAGAAATAATGGGGTGTGTAGATCAGAGATCATGTCTATATACAGGCAAGCTAAAATCCTGTGACAGCATGACCCTTCACCTTACCCTGAAGTAATGAAGCAAGAAAGTAGTTAGAGTATGGTAACACACACCTATAATCCCAGCACTGGAGTGGAGGCAGGAGGCCAGTTGTCTACAAAATGAGTTTGAGCCCAACCTGGGCTATATGAACTTCTTTCACATTTAAAAAAAAAAAAAAAGACAAACCTTTGGGAAACATGTAGGTTCTAGTAGTAGAGTGCTGAGTGTCACTCTGGAAATAATGAAGCAAATCAGATAAAAAGATTAAAAAAAAAAAAAGGCAACACAAAACGGGAGACTAGAACCTGAGAAAGAAAGCAAGGCTTAAAGCTCAGGAGTCTTATCCCTAATCAGGTTTTGAAAAAAAAGGGCAAGGTCTGGAAAATATAAAGTATTAAAGACAAGTTTTTCAAGACAGGGTTTCTCTGTAGCCTTGGAGCCTGTCCTGGAACTAGCTCTTGTAGGCCAGGCTGGCCTCGAACTCACAGAGATCCGCCTGCCTCTGCCTCCCGAGTGCCGGAATTAAAGGCGTGCGCCACCACCGCCTGGCCTAAGACAAGTATTTCAATAAATTACTTAAAGACTGCCTTATGTAATTTGTCAATGGAAACACAGCTGGCTCACTTTGCAAGGGGAGGGGGTATTTCGAGACAGGGTCTCTCTTTAACAGCCCTAGCTGTCCTGGAACTCAGAGATTCACCTGCCTCGGTCTCTGTCTCCCAAGTACTGGGATTAAAGGCATGAACCACCACCCGGTTCTAACTCACTTTGTGGTTTGACTTTTGACTCTTCTTAATCCAGCTCTTACCCTATTTCTGTTAAGAGGATAAAAGGAGCCCCAATTCTGTATTTAGTTTTGAGTTACAGACAACAGTGTAATGCCAATTGCAGAGTACTGTGATCGGCTCTGCTTCCAAAGGTGGTAAAACAGTATTTTATGGTAACAAGCTGGGACTGGCGGGATAGGACTGGATCCACAGTAAGTTGAGCCAGGCTGCCCTCATGTGGAGTGAGTTAGGATGCATGCACATTCTTAAGGTGTCGTAGCTGGAAATATTAAGTCTGTTGCTTTATACCTAGAGTCTCCAAAGATCTTTGGGACATCTCTCCATGTAGTACCCTAGATATTATTGAATCTTTGAAATGCTCACACAGCTGGTTCTTATAACTCTATGAAAATTAGAAAGATTAGATTAAGCATTAATTTAACTCCCAACTAAACTTTTCCTTCATCACACAGTAAGCATTTGCTGAGTACTATAGTGCTAGGTCCTGGTGTTGGTGGATTTCCTGATACTGGTTTGCAGTGGAAAAAGTCAAAGGCAATGGTGATAGAGACAGCAAGTCCTATTGACTCACCCCAGAGGAACTGACTGCCACTGAGAGCTGGACATTAGCTACTTTACCAAAAGTTGCCTGTTAGCTGAGCCAAGGCACTGGCCAGGCCAGGAAAGAGTTCTAGTAACAGCAGGTTCAAGTGACAGAACTGGGAGTCAGATGAGAGGTGCTGGTGAGAGGGCGACAGTTATAGGCTCCTGCCTCACTTTTCACATTTGGCTGGATAGATAAGCTGAAGGGGCAAGACTAGAATCATGCAAGTGAGAAACCTCGGTTCAAAACTGAAAGAGGCAACTGCATGATTATGGAACTTTGTGTCCTGGGTGCATCACCTCCTCTGCATAATGGAGAGAAGACGTTGCCTTGTTACCCTGGCCCCTTTAGCTCTTGCAATTTTTTTTTGTTTGTTTGTTTTTGTTTGTTTGGTTGGTTTTTTTGAGACAGGGTTTCTCTGTGTAGTTTTGGAGCCTGTCTTGAAACTCGCTCTGTAGATCAGGCTGGCCTCTAACTCACAGAGATCCACCTGCCTCTGCCTCCCAAGTTCTGGGAGTGCGCCACCACTGCCTGACAACTTTGGCAGTTTTTTGCATGCCTTTGCCTTTTCTCACTTCACTGTATTGCTCCCCTACAGTCACAGCAGCTACAGACAGTCTCGTTGGTGTCTCTGAGATGGTAGATTATAACTGCTACAGATCTGGGAAGGTAGGAGGAGCACAGTTTGTAGCTGGGAGTCAGGCAGATTCTGGCCCTTAGGTCAGGCACTGGGAATTAAGACTGACTCACAACTGTTTGGCCTCCTGTGGTAGGAGCTTTCCTGTCTGTCTGAAGTTGGCCTTCATGGGCCTTCCACATCACTATCTCCCAGCTTGAAATGGAGCCTTTCAGACCAGTTCCCTGTCTGCCTTAAGCTGCTGGCTGAACTGCCTAGATCTTTACCTTGAGAAAACTCCCTGGAACCCCCAATATCATGTTTGTTCTAGTCTATAAAACCAATAAAATGTATAGTTAAATATGATAATACAGTAATTGAAATTTTTTTATGGGGAGTGGGTGGGTAGAGCCTTAAACTATGTAGCCAAGAGATGACCTTTTCTTTATCTTCCAAGTGCTGGGATAACAGGCATGAACCACCACACTTGACATAGAAATTTTATAAATAAATTCACAAATCAAAACAACAAAATTATCAAACCACAGTTCAAATTTTGGGGTTGGAAAGTATAGCTCATTTACAGTTAAAAATTTCTGTGTTCTGGGGGTCATTTTTTTTTTCCTAGCTTTGAAAACAACAGGCCAGCCAGGATGGCCGAGTTCAGTGTCCAAGACCCACATGGTAGAGAGGGAAGGAGAACGCCCATCGGTGGTTCTCTCACCGCCACTGGGTGCCGCGGCGTGTGCCCTTGCCCATAGACAACATACACTCACACACAATAAATGAATGCAAATAAACAAACCATATAGCTTGCTGTGGTAGAGGCCAGAGAGCCAGAGATGTGAAAACAAATGTCACAATGTAACATTGCAGGACATATCACCCTAGACAAGTAAGTTTTCTCAAGAGTGGATTGAAAATGCCATGCCCAGATGTTAGTCTGCATTGCAGCCCTATCTAAAATCAGAACCGGTCTCCCTTCCTGAGGGTCTTCAAAGGACAATGCCAGCAAATGCCCAGCAGAACACTTTTAAGATTCCCATTTTTTAACTTTTAGCTCCCTACACTGTCTATTTTGACAGTAACTTTCATTTTGACCCTTGACTTCAAAGCCATAGTTCTCTGCTTTTACAAACATTTATGCAAGTCTTGGGGGTATCTCTTCTGTAGCCAGCTCTTTCTGTTCCAAGCTTGTTCACCTGAGGACACATGCCTTCTCACTTAGCATTACTGGCTCTTCTATGTGGTGACTTAGTTCTCCAGTCCTCCACTCCCTACAAGGCATCTCCACAGATAACCTATGGAATATAGGCATGTCTAAAATAGCTTTCACGGTTTTTCCCAAATTATATAACCTTCCTCTGCACATAACTGTGAAGGTTCCTAGCTCACCTGTCTTTTACCATTATTGATTCTTGCCGCTTCTGTTCTAATGCTTAGACGTCTCTGTTGCAGGCCTTGGTCCAGACTCTAGTAGCTCGTGTGTAAATAAATGACTGCAAGCCGGTTTCCCCTCTCCCTGCAGGCGTGCAGCACAGTACTTTGTTCCTATTTTTCTTAGAAGCATATAGTTGTTACCATATGCCTTATTTAAAAACATCCTTGTTTTCAAAACACTTCTACTTCCCACATTTCTTCACCAGATTTTGTGGGTGAAGGGTGTAGCCCTTGTATGTCAGCTAAGTATACACGCTTTTGTCCACCCAGGAGATGTGTTTCTGATCATGGCTGTCATTTCTCATTTCTGGAATGTTTTTGTCAAGCCACATACTATTTGTTTTTCAAAGCCGTTTCTCAACTGAACATTCTTTGCATAACTACTCATGACCTACCACAGTAGCCCCCCAAATGCCCTGAATGTTTATAATATGCATGTATTTTTTAATGTGTATTTACTGTCTTGTTTCCTCTGTGAAGCTTCTAGTCAATCAAGCAAGAACTACTTGGTACTCAGGCTGCATATTTTCTATTAGTTCTCTGGGGAAACAACAAGAGAAAGAATACCAGGCCCTCACATCAAGGATTTCAGAAAAATTCTGCATCAGGAAGTGGGACTGGAGGGTATCACTAAAATACTGATTATAAACTGCCTATGCTGGAAATGACAGCCTGCCTATAACCCAGCATTTGTTAAATTGAAGCAAGAGGATCCTAAGCCAATCTAGGCTACAGAACAAAACCCTGCCTCAAAAATAAATAAATAAATAAATAAATAAATACCAACAACAACAACAACAAAAACCTGCCTTGAATCCTCATGCAAGTGATATAGAAAAGTCCCTTTATGGTCAAGGAAGGGAAAATTATAATGCTGATAAAGAAATGAGCTATGATCTAGGAAAAGCTGACAAAAACCAAAAAAACAAAATTTCATCCAGCTTTGACTATGGGAGACTGGATAGACTAAAAACCTAGTAGACAAGCTGGAATAATTGCCACTTAAGGAATAAACCACTCTTCACCACTTCACCCCTGGGTGAAGAATCATTAGGGAACCCAGATTGGCCTTCAATTGTCATTCTCCTGCTTTAGCCTACCAAGCCAGTGTTATGGGTCTGTGCCACCACACCCAGCTGGACAAGCCCTTCCTAAAGCAGTCTAAGTCTCATCAGAAAATGGGCACACTATCCATCCCACAGGACCTGCTTGGATGAAATGAATGTCTTACTCATTATCAAATGCTATCTAATATGAAGCATTACTGTTACTAATATGTTAAAGCACAGTACTATGAGTTAGACTGTTAAAGGGGTTGGAATATAAACAGAACCAAGTTTTGTATCAGAAATAAGAACAGTCTAATTAGCTCAGGCTGGGCTTCCTCTGCAGCTTCTCTAACTAGCAATCAGATTTACAGACACTAACCAGTGCATATCAGGGCAAAGGCAGGGCGCAAACTGAACAGTAGAAACATTCTCATAAAAATAACAGAGCTCTTAGTTCCAGCTTACAAGTCTCCATGTTTTGACAAATTTCTATAGCCCACAAGACATCAACAGTACTGATTTGTGGTGTCTATTTCTAGAACTAATACTATAAAATTCTCTTCCCCAATCACAATCCAGCTTCCTGCCAGCTTTTGTTCCCTGCTCCCATCCCCTTCCCTTCAAACCCATGATTTGGTCATAAACTTCCTACCCAGAATCTCGTCAAGTGAGATCTAAAACTTACTACTACTGCCTAGTTGTGCTGCTGTGCACACTGACGAGAAGGATAGACTGCTGATTTATAAGTCTGTGAGAAGCTGCTTCAGTTCTGGTTTTCCTTGGAAGAACTGGAATCTTGATATTACTATCTGAGTAGCCATGAAGCCAGGAAGTTTCAGCCCACAGAGGCCGTGGACAGTGCTACAGTTTGAATTTCCTCCTACTGCCAACACGAAGACACTGCTACATTGTCCTTGATAGGGAAGTTCCATGTCTGTGTTTGGCACCGCTTTAGCTAGTGTTTTGTCCTTGGAAATGTCCCTGGCTCCTAGCATGTGCTGAAGCTACAATCCCCAGGACTTCTTCCTGTGGCCGGCCATACACAGTATTGTTCTGAAGTCAAGCCGCAGGGAACAACAAGGTCGCAGGAGAGACTGTGGATTCTTCTGCTACAGACTAGTTTTATTGATTTACCCCTTGCACGCCTTCAAGCTCTTTTCCCCCAGCAATGCCCCAAACAACCGAACACCTGCTGCAGGGGCTCCCAGGCTGGCTTACCTCTGACAGGGCCCAGCACCCGATGGCTGACCTTTTGGGTGCTAGAGCCCAGGCCTGGCAGCCCTGTAGGCCGACTGCCATGAAAAGGAAAGCTGGGAGAGTTCTTCATCTGTGGAGAATTTTGTTGGCTGCTGCTGCTACCACCACCACTTGTGCCAGTGCTAAAACTTCGAGCCCGGCTCAAGGTGTTTTCGGAGCTGGAAATGAGCAATCCACTGCAAAGAAGCAGATACCAGTTACCCTGCACCTGGGAAGAAGTGTCCTAAGGCTTCCTTAGGATGTAGCAATTAAAATTCACCTCCGGAGTTAAAGGGCATAAAAATCCATTCCCAGGAAGAAAGGAGGGAATGCATATCTATGGGTGTAGAATCTAACTTGGGGCATACCCCCTAATCTTGGCAGTCATCCTAAGTAGCCGTGTTTCACAAAGAATTTCTCCCTTATTTTGTTGGTGCTGGCTCTAGAACCCTCTTCACTTAGTCATTTACCTTTGGGATCAGACCTGCCATACTCTTGCCACAAAGACAGTGGGTTTTGTACACTGCTTTGGATCTAGGAGTCCCTTGTCCTGATTTTCAGCTCCCTTAGATGTAGTTCTAGGTGAAAGGGACTAGGGTCCCATTCTCAAAAACTGAAGTAATCTCACCAGTTTTCTTTTTCTTTCTTTTTTTTCTTGGTTTTGCGAGACAGGGTTTCTCTGTAACTTTAGAGCCTGTCCTGGCTGGAACTAGCATTTATAGATCAGGCTGGACTTGAACTCACAGAGACCCACCTGCCTCTGCCTCCTGAGTGCTAGTGTTAAAGATGTGTGCCACCACCGCCCGGCCCACCAGTCTTCATTTACCCAGAACATATCATGTGGTGCCCCCCACATCTCTAGAGTTTGCCAACCTTCCTGCACTCTCCATGCTGCTGGTCTTACTTGTTACTTTTGGGCGGAGTTCGAGCTCCTCTCTTCTTGCTCACGCCCACACCCACGCTCACAGTGCTGGTCAGACCTCTGCTGTTGCGCACGTGCTTTAGCATCCAGGCCCGCAGGTTAGTGAGGCTGTTGTGTTCTGACAGCACAATTCGGGGCCATGGGTTACACTCTGCCATATCCAGAGCTGCGATGGCCATAGCTCGGCCCACCTGTGGGGAGTTGTTTGGTTCAGTATCTTTGTCCTCTCATCTAGCTGCTGTTTGGGGGAGCAGTACACAGCACAATAGGCAAGAGGAAGCTAGACGTAACAGTGGGTACCCTGAATTTTGTGCCCAGGTTCTTTATCTCAAGTCTGTTCACAGCTTGTTCTGAGCAGGGACTGCTGTGCTTTTGGTTGACACTATGAGTTTGTATCTTTTACAACCTCGAGTTTTATTTCTCTTACATGCCTAGAAACAGACATACCAATACTATAATAATGGGTGCTTTTGAGCCTAGGAGTGAATGAATCCATGAGGAGTATCCGCTCAGGCCAGGTGATTTAATTAGCTGTCCCAGGGTAATGTCTGGGCTGGGGGTCAGAAATCATGCCTGTATTTTTGTCATTACCATGACAGTTAACTGAAGAAAATCACACAACTCTGCAGAGCATCAACTGTTCCCAGATTTGGGGATTCCCACTTCCCCACTTAAGTCTATGGATTCATACCTGCTCAAATAGTTCCACAGTGTATCTGGAGGGGAAAGCTGGTGGCGGAGGGGGGCTGGCGCGCCCATTGTCGTGGCAGGCAGCAGGGATGCTGTTTACTGAGCGTCCAGTGTTGTAGTTGCATTCAAGTGTGTAGCTGAGACACAGAGACCTTTGTGAGTGTCCTGTCTGAACAGGTGCTGGGACAGAACAGTGAGGGGCAGTGTAGATGGATTAAGAAGGTAGTCACTTAAAAACAAGTAGACCAAGAGAAAGTGCTAATAATTCCCAACTAACAACTGACCGTGTGTGCCCAGGAAGTCTCCAAAAATAAGACTCCCCGATTAATGCCAACTGTGCTAGCTGAGACTCTCTTTTTAAGACTTGGGTGGTTCCAGCCTCTCAAACACCCTGGAATAAGTATTTTTTTCTTTAAATAAGTTATTTTCTCAACTATGTCAGTTTCCTCCAAACCTGTGTATTATCCCTGAGGCTTTGTAGATTGCAACACGACCGCTTCCCTCTTTGGACTGGCCATCTCTACGGTCTCGGGCATACATGTTCTTCTCTGAGAAATTGCAGCCCTGGAAGTCAAAGTGGGCTGAATTCAAGGAGATGAGCTTTGGATATAACATGTTTTCCACCTGTTTGGGGGAGGAAAAGGCAACTCAGAAGACAACACAGAAAGAAGGGACAGGGGCAAGAAAAATAAGGCAGACAGTCATGTGACTATGTAGCATATACCATTATAGCCAAAAGCAGTAATCAATGTTTCTTGAAAGTCTCACTGTTGAACATTATTTCTTTTAAGCTCTTAGATTTCCCGCTACATTTTCCTGCTCTGGCTCTCAAGCTCTAGAGAACTGGGTGCTGGTGGCTTGCTCTTCACTCAGTGGCTAAGCTTTAAGGCCCTAGTGCCATCTCTTTGTCTTTTGAAGCTTGTGCAGAGGGAGTGTGCACAGGCCTTCCTGCTTGCTTCTCCAGAAGGCCACCTTCCCACCTTGCCTGTAACCTAACCCTCTTCTCCTGACCTGCAATACTTAACTGTCACACAGTACCTAGAGTCCTACCTGGGTGCTCTCATCACTAAAGCTGTTTCCATACATGAAGCAGCCCCTTTTGGAAGCATGTCCATGCAAGTCCACATAGTAAGCAACACCACTCTCTTTTGGGGGGATGGTGTCAGGGGCTGGCTCTTCCAGTTCAGGAGACTGTTGTGGCATAATCCACACAGTGTCAGTCTTCTCTTCTGCTGCTGGCTCTGGCTCAGCCCAGGTCTCAGGGCTTTCCCCATCAGGTGGCTGTCCAAGGTGAGCTTCATTGTGGAGGTTGTTGACTTTCTCAAGGTCAGAAAGAGGAGTCTCAGGCTGGAGATGGGGACTGGGCTGCGGGGCACAGGGACTCTTGGCATTGAGCCGGGAGTGCACGTGATGGTAGAGGAGCACAGCTTTTGCGCCATAGATGGCTGGGTGCAGGATGGCGTCAGGCTTCAGGTACTGACGGTTGAGATTCACCCCACGGGAGTCTGTGCTGTAGGAAGACAGGACTGAACAGGGTCTAGGTGTCTGGGCCAGGAAGAGACACTAGAGTAGGTGACAAGGAGGCTAGAAGACTTGTCGAGTGCACAGCTTAAATTATGCTGGGAAAGAAAGGAGGACATGACCCTTCCTCGACTTGTCCCCCTACCATAGAAATTCAAGGGCAGTTCCCTCTATCCAAGTAGTCTTCACCTAGCCTACTTTTGCTTCTGCCCAGGAGTGTATGTAGATGCCATTCCTTCTCAGCTCACTGGAACATTAAAAGGACTTGTCCTTGTTAGGGTACAAGAGGACTAAAAATACAGAAAGTCAGAAGGCTGTCTGTCTGTCACAGAGATGTGGGACAAAAGAGAAACTGAGGAAATCCAAAAAGGTTGTTTTGGCTTCTTACCGGTAGTGACCCCGAACCACACCATCAGGGTTTAACATAGGAATCAACTTAAAGACAAAGAGTCGACGTAGGGTTTGTGCCCGGGGGTCATCAGGTCGAAGGATGAAGTCCAAAAAGCCATTGAAGACAAAGCTAGATGGAGTCTCTCCAGGGTGTACCCTGCTGCTTAAGAAGAATATCTGAGGTGAAGAAGAAAGCAGACAGATCAATAGTGCTATAGTTCCACTCTGACATATGTGGGCAGGAGTGGCTGTCTGCCAGAGGTACAGCAATGCAGTCCTCTGCCCTGGGTCCAGAATGTGTAGAGGTAAAGCTTTAAATTATTCACAGTGGCTAGAGCTAGAATAAGGCGAGAGCACCATTTTATTTTATATATGTGTATGTCTGTGTGTCTGTCTACAAGTGCCTGTGGAGTGTGGAAGTTGTTATACCTCCTGGAGCAGGAGTTAAAGGCAACTACACACAGCGTGGGTGATGGGAACCAAACAAGGATCCTGTGTAAGAGTATCAGGTGCTCTTAAACACTGAGCTGTCTTCTCCACCCAAGAGGACTGCTCCTATGTTCTCCCCACTCACCCTTTTGCCTGTGAAACGGAAGGGTCGGGGAGTGCTAAGATCAGGGAATAGCTGCTCTAGACGGGGCTCCCGATCTTCTCGAAGCCCATGGCAGGAAGTGACTGTTAGTAGATCTACCCGAAGTCCATCCAGAGAATAGCAGAGAAGCTCCCGGTGGTAATAAATGCTATCCAGAGGACTATGGGGGATAAAATCATTAGTCATAAGTCCCTGAGGTCCTGGAAAGAGCAGCATCACCAGCTCAGGACTTGTGTTTTTTGGTCTCTCCCCATAACCTTTGGGACCTCTTAGTCCCTTCAACTGGTGGAGTCTAAGGATATTTGTGGGCCTGTACTGCCAGATGCAGAATACAGGACTGAAGTGTGAGTGTGTGGGCGCATGCGTGCGTGTACACGGGCACCTGTTGGAGTACAGTTTGCAGAAGTTGGTTCTCTCCCTCTATCATGTCAGTGCTGGGGACAAAGTCATATCATCAGGCTTGGCAGCAAGCGCCCTTCTTTACTCACTGAGCCATCTTGCTGTCATTCCTCCACCCCTTTTATTTAGGGTGAACTTTCTGTTTGATTTCCTAGTTTGTGGGACATTAGGATAGATTTGCGTATACAGAGTTGTCATCGGAGGCAGATGAAGAAGATGTGCTGGGCAGCCACAGTACTGGCTAAATTCTAGATAACCCGTGAGAACAAACAGGACTTGAACTGGGCACGTGGGAGAATGAGTGTAGGTGGTGGTGTGCTGATCGTGGTTGTAAAGGAACACCTTTTTCAAAATGCCACATTCACACAGGGAAAAGACTGATGAAGTTCTGGCTAAGAGCTCTCAGGACAAGTGCCAGAAGCAGGTACTATAGAGAGGTACTACAGGATCTAAGACAGTGTGGCAGGGGTAGGAATTGGTTAGTACCTGCTATGGGTAGAGTGATTCTCTGGAAAGCGCTGGTCTAGCTGGCTTAGCAAATCCTGGCAGTCGCTGTAGGAGAAGGGGTAGCAGAAGGCAAAGAAGGTGGTGGCTCCCCGGCCCTCTACGAAACGGTGAACAAAGGATAGCACAAACTGTGTCTCTGTCATCTGGGGAGCAGAGGAGGAAGAGGAGGGGAACGGTCATCTGTCAGAACTGAGATCCTCCTGTTAGGAACACCTTTACCAACTCCCCTCCCTCTGATGCTTTCCATATGAAAGCCAGCTTCTTCAGGCTTGCTGAAGTAGGGGCTCATCCTGGACCCCAGCTAGGGGTGGAAGAAAGAAGATACTAAACTTAGGGATGCTACCTGCCTCGTACTCTCTCTCAGGAACTTGTTTCCTGTACTAGCACTAGGTCTTTCCTCCTAATGAAGAACTTACCTCAAAGGTGGGCCGGTCTCTAATGCGTTCCCAGCGTGGCCGGGAAGGCAACGTGCGCACAAAGGGGGCCATGCCCTGAGAATATAGCTTGCTTTGCTTGTTCATGTTCATAATGTTGATCTTGATAAGTTTCCCTGGAGTTCCTCCCCGGACACTGAAGTAGAACCATGACCTGAGAACCAAGAAAGACCAGCTGTCAGATGTGGAAGGGCTAGAGAGAGAATGTGTGGGGAACAGGGGTCAAGTCAAAACTGCATAGAGCTATTTAGTAAAGAGGACGGGAGGGATTGAAAACGGGACACTGTACGGTCTGTACAAAGTCAAAGGACTGACTACACTCTGCATCCGGGCGCTTGGACATTCCCACCCACCCTCTCACTTTTCATACCTGTTCCCGTTCTCAAATTCTGTTTCAGCACAGTCCGGCCGGGTCCACACGTTGAACTCGTAGTCAGGGGAAGCAATGCTACTAGTGGGGGCTGAAGCCCCCCCTCCTACTCCTTCCCCATCGCTAGAAACTGTTTCCACCTTTTCCACATGGGCTAGGTTCCCTGAATCAAAGCGAGAACTGAACAGCAATCCCCCACAGCGCAGCTCCATGGTGGGGCTGGGAAAGCATCCTCTTGCCCCACACAGGCCCTGAGAGCTGGGGGAAAAACGAAAGGGTTTGTAGGCAGGCGGGAGAGAAAAACGCAACAATGTTTTTGGGTATCTTTGGATAAATGAGAAATGCTTTTAGTATTCTATGAAGCAAAATACTCCTTTTCTTAGAAAACATGTAAGTAGCCTTTCAGCAAGATCAAGAGAAAGCAGAACTCTGTCCCTGGACACCCAAGGGTTATGAGTAACCTGAAAGACCCTATTTAACTACACGCAGCTGCTGCCAAATCAAATGCTCAATGCTTCTTTGGCTGAGTTGGGAAACTCTAGACTCTCATGCCTCTCAGAAACCTAAAGAGACTGGACGTCAGATGGCTGCCACCGACTCTATGAGGGAGGGGCCATTTTAAAATTTCCTAGATTGGCTTTGTACTGTGCAGCCCAGAGCAGAAAGAACCAAATTTCTAAGTGTAAATGGTGGCTTCCTTTCTTTACCCCTTTGTCTTCACAAGCACTGACTAGAATCATGCTGTTGTTTCTATGAGACCTTGAAGAGCCGTTTCTGTTGTTGCCACCCCCTTTCTATACTATGCCTAGTATGAAAACTAGAAAAACATGGCCTGTGCCTGGCCAAAGCCACTTGCTCACCTGCCCTGAACCTCAGTTCCAATTAGGATCTGTTTCCATCCTCCCGCCCTGTAGACACTGGAGCCTGTGCAAAAGCTACCCTCGAAGATGTGGGTAACGGGTGTCCTAAACACCCCTAGGAAGGCTGGGCCAGTAGAATCGGGCTTGGAAGCAGCAAGCAGCTCCTTGATTCGCGAGGACCCTCGCACTGACTGGCTGGTCCAGGGCAGGGAAGGGTTTGGAGGCGTGGGAGGGGTCGAGACAGAGACACTGGAGGATGGGAAGGCTGGTCCTAGGGGTCAGAGGTGAGGCCACGGGATCGGAGGTGGTCAGCCAGAGGCGGGGTCGGCCCACCGCGCCAGGCCTGGGGGGCGGGGTGGCGTTCGACAGGGGCTCGGGCGGAGCGGGCTGAAGAAGGGGGCGGGGCCGGCCGCGGGGCCTCAGTCCGCGCAGAGCCCCTCACCTCTCTCCGGGCCGCTGCTCCCGCTCCCTGTCCCGCTAGCGAGGCGGCACCTCGGGCCCCGGCACCCGGGCCCTCCACCCAGGACCCACACAAAACCAGAGAGCCGCGGTGCCGGGACCCCGCTCTGCCAGGAAACAAGAAGTCTCTTGCCTATTGGCCGCAGCCGCAGCTGGCTACCCGCCCAGTAAAGCGTGCTGCCATTGGCCGGCACGCAGGGTTCCGTGCACGTTGGCAGGTACCTGTGAGGGGGCCGTTTGGGGGCTTCCCGCGGGCCAGCGCACTCCGCAGCTCAGGCAGCGTCTTTTCTGGAGGCGGTTAACGGCCCGCCACCCCGAGGTGGGAAAGACAGAGCTGGGGCGCGGGCAACAGGAAAAGACTCACCTGCGGACAAGAAGACGCCGTGTGAAGTGGATCCTTGCTTACCGTGTCCTTAGTTCTACTGTCTAGCAAAAGGCCAACAACGTGTTGTCCAGGAGCCTGCCAGTGTCTAGCGTTGACCATAGCATGGCTGTGGATTGCAAAAGGGAAAGTGGAGGATGCGGGCATCGATCCCGCTACCTCTCGCATGCTAAGCGAGCGCTCTACCATTTGAGCTAATCCCCCAGCTGCAAGGGCTTGTTTTCCTAGTGCCTTTACAAGGTTTGCCGATACCCATTGAACGGAAAATTTCTAACAGTATAAAGTATGTTGGAACTCTAAGCAAGATTTTGAAGCTGAGCCATGTTAATGAACACATAAACAATAAGGACTTTTCTTGCAGTTTTTTACACCCATTACGCGAACAAAATGTATTGTACTTCGACTACTAAACTGCCTACGTGCCGCACCCCAGGTCAACAGTCGTCAAGCAAAATACATTGCCTATCACCAAATTATAGCCTTTACCCCGCGAGTAATTGAGATAGGATGAAACTAAAAACAATGCACGAAGTCCTTCGAGCCGGAATCGAACCAGCGACCTAAGGATTGCTAGATTGTATTCACTACAGTCCTCCGCTCTACCAACTGAGCTATCGAAGGCTCCGCTGCTCCCGGGACTTGCCATTTTCCTTCTAATGCTTACCGGGAATTTTTCTGAGTTCTGGACTGTTTCTTAGCAGTCTTGGGGGAGCCGGGACCGGAAGGAAAGGCGAAGGAGCAGGCTTGCCGGCTTGCACCGTGCGGCGGGAGCGTGCTGCTAGCCGACTCAGAGCCGAGCTGGGCAGGCGTTCCTCCCGCTCTGCAGACACCACTCCCGGTGTTTGGGGACTGCTAATCGTGTTCGCTGCTTCAGATCCAGGTCTCATTTGGTTTTCGGAGCGGTGCAAGTAAAAAGCATGCTCTTGACGGTGCGAAAGACACTCACTCAGGCCCTTCGCTAGAAGGGAACGCCGAGCCGCGGGAGACGAGCGATCCCTGTGCCCCAGTCCCTAGGATATGGCGGGGGATGCGGATTCCTGATCCCGAGTACCCTGGGCCGGCTGAGTGCAGTCTCCCGAACTGCCCGATCTGCAGTGCCCAGCGCTTGTTAAACAAGTTCACTGGTTTTCGAGGCCTGGGAAGGGTTTCCGCCGCACCTGGACCCCTTCCCTGTCACTTGGCAACCAAGCGTCTCCTCTGGATGGGTCGACCTTGTGTCTACCCCGACCCTACCCCTTATGTAGCTCAAGTATTTGTTGCCCTTGCTCTTTCTCACAGGGCCAGGCCACTGTTGGCTCACTGAAAGCTACGAGATTTTTTTTTTTTAAAGGAACAAATTCAACCTCCCCCCCTACCCCGTCCTCCGCTCAGCCGGCTCTGTCTGGCGGAGTGGGTGTGTCTAGAGACCTGGCCTTCAGTTCCAGTTCTGAAATGTCCAGCTAGGTGGAATGATAGTTTGAAATCTTATTTGACTTCATTCTGCTGGGGGGGAGGGGATGCTGCCACCGTGCTGTGGAGTTTTCATGGCACACGTTTAGCATTTTTAAGTAATTCATATTTCTCTTTCCTCCTCTGCTCCCTTCCTGTCCCCATTATTCCTGTCCCCATTATTCCCGCCCCCTCTCCTTCCTCCCTTGCTGCTTAATTCCGACGCCTTTAAAATGTGAGATTCACAAAACATACTTATCTACTTGTTTCTCAAACCTACAGCACAAAAACTTCCCAAAGGGTCTTCTACGCGAGTGCTAACCAGGCCCAACACTGCTTAGATCAGAGTGGTTTAAGGTGAATGCGTCACTCAGGGACTTGTAGTGCAATGACGATGCTGTACAAATGTCACCGCTCTACTGGAGGTTTGTTTTTTGGTGTTTTTGTTTTGTTTTGTTCCGTTTTTTCAGATGTTCGGGCTTGAGTCTGGGGTCAATCTGGCCTCGAATTCGAAGAGCTTGGCATGCCTCTGCACCCAGAATGCTGAGATAAAAGTGTGCAACACCACAACCGCCTCTGTTCATTTCCTTGTATCCTGTTAATGCAGTTTTTTTTTTAATTTTAGTCCTACCTTTTGGGGTCGGGGTATTTTAAATAATTGGAAATTAAACGCAGGCGATTTCAGTATTACTGGAACACCCTACCGGTACTATTCTGTGGCTTCTGTTTTATTATTTTTGCGTCTTCATACTTTTTACGTATATTTCTGATCCCCGTGTCCCTACCCTGGCAAGTGGTATTTTTGTTGAAGCTGGTCCCCGATACCTGCAATCTGGGCATAACGCCTCCATGCCCAACGTGCACATCCTTAGAAATCCTTGCCCATATTTCTACTTACTCATCGAGAAAACTTTTAGGAGTGTACTTGTTTGGCCAGACAATGTGAGACTTTTTTACCTTTTGATAAAAGTTGCCAATTTACTTCCTAGGATATACAAAATTCTATCATAGCATTCACTGCTTTAAGTATTAAAGAATTCTTCAGAGTCATTAAGATGGTTTAGCAGTAAAGCCATTTTCTGCCAAGCCTGAGAACCTGAGTTTGATTCCCTGGATCCACATGAAGGAAGGAGAGAACCAGTTCCTCCAAGCTGTCCTCTGACCTCCACATGAATACCAGGACATGTTCAATAACACACTTGCAAAGCAGCGCAGTGCGGCAGCCGGGAGTGGAAGGCAGACCTGCGGCAGAGCCAGGCCATCTTAGCAGCATGGCGGATGGGTCACCAGGCCCTGGGAGAGGAAGTCTCAGCAGCGAAGCAGGCTGTGGCAACAGCAGTTCCCTCACCACGTAATAATATTCTGTATGTCAAAACACTAGACATACAGAATAAAGAAAGAATGCAAAGGAAAGAGGTCATGCAATATATAAATGCAGACCTATCAGAATTGCACCCGACTTCTCAATGGAAACAATGAAAGCCAGGAGGTCCTGAACAGGCATCATGTAGACACTAAGAGGCCACGGATGCCAGCCCAGACTACTTATTCAGCAAAAGTTTCAATCAGCATAGATGGAGAAAACAAGATATTCCATGACAAAACCAGATTAAATCAATACCTATTCACAAATCCAGCCCTACAGAAAGTACTAGAAGGAAAACTCAAACCCAAAACTATATCCACAAAAACACAGGAAATAGATATTTTCCCACACCAGCAAATCCCAAAGAAAAGTGCACACACAATAACAATAAAAATAACATGAACAAACAATCACTGGCATTAATAACCCTTAATATCAAATGACTCAATTCACCCATAAAAAGACACAGGCTAACAGACTGGATATGAAAACAGAATCCATTCTGCGGCTGCATACAGAAAACACACCGACTACAAAGAAGACATTACCTCAGGGTAAAGGGTTGGGGAAAGATTTTCCAATCAAATGGACTTAAGAAACAAGCTGGTGTAGCTATCCTAACAGTTAACAAAATTGACCTCAAACTAAAATTAGCCAAAAGAAATGTAGAAGGTCATTTCATATTCATAGGAAAAATCCACCAAGATGACGTCTCAATAACGAACATCTATGTCCCAAATACAAGGGTACCCTCATTCATAAAAGAAACATTACTAAAGCTTAAAGTACACATCAAGTCCCATATATTTAACAATGGGAGACTTCAACACCCCACTCAAACCACTGGGCAGGTCTGCCACACAGAAACAACAGAGAAATGAGGAAGCTAACAGATGCTATGCCTCAAATGGATTTAGCAGACATCTATAGGACATTTCGCCCAAACACAAAAGATATTCCTTCTTCTCAGCACCTCATGGGACCCTCTCCAAAACTGACCACATACTCAGTAACAAAGCAAATCTCAACAGATAAAAAAAAAATTGGAATAATCCTATGTCTTATCGGATCATCATGACTTGAAGTTAGAATTCAATAACAAATACTAATTTCAGAAAGTCCACAAACAAATGGAAACTGAACAATGCTCAAATGAATCACCATTGGGTCAAGGAAGAAATAAAAGACTTCCTAAAATTCAATGAAAATGACCACACAATATACCCAGACTTATGGGACACAATGAAAGCAGTGCTAAGAGAAAAGTTCATAGCACTAAATGTCTACATAAAGAAGCCGGAAAAAATCCCACAAGTGAGTTAACAGAACACTTGAAAGCTATAGAACAAAAAGAAGCAGACTCACCAGGAGGACTAGATGACAGGAAATAATCAAATTGAGAGGTGAAATCAACAAAATAGAAACAAAGAAAACAATACAAAGAATGAAACAAAGAGTTGGTTCTTCAAGAAAATCAACAAAATAGACAAACTTCTATCCAAACTAACCAAAAGGTAGACAAAATATCCAAATTAACAAAATCAGAAATGAAAAGTGGGTCATTACAACAGACAAGGAGGAAATCCAGAGAATCATCAGGTCATACTTCAAAAACCTGCACTCCACAAAATTGGAAAACTTAAAGGGAGTAGATAATTTTCTGAATAAGTACCACATACCAAAATTAAATCAAGACCAAATAAGCAAATTAAATAGACCTATAACCACTAAGGAAATAGAAACAGTCATCAAAAGTCTCCCAACCAAAAATTGC